CTCCAACGCGCCGCGAACGAGCGGGGGATGAGCGTGAAGGAGTGGGAGCTTCACCGTCTCGGTGCGCACCCGCATTCCCACCCCCTCTCGATCTCCCCGGGGGTTTCCTCCGCGTTTTCCTCGCCGATCTCCTCCCCGCACGCGATAACGCTGACCTCCGAGGAGGGGGGGGAGGCGGAGGAGGAGGAGGAGGAGATTCGGAGCGTCATGACGTGCTTTTCCGCGGGTTCCCTCCTATCGCTCCCGCCGCCTTCTGGTGGGATGACGTGGGGGGTGGTGATGGCGCCTCTTCCCCCGGCGTTGCGGCTTTTCTTCCTCGATGAACTCCTCCGATGGCGGGCGGCGATCGAGGAGGAGGAGCACCGCGCGCGATTCGCGTTGTTGCACGAAATGGAGGCCTCCCTCCGCGATCACCGCGGGGCCGCCCCGCACGGCTTTGATACGAGCGATCACAGCTGGTACGCTCGGATTCTCACCCCCCTCCGCGCGCTGTTGAAGCTTTTTTTACAAGGCGTGGTGCTGGTGAACGCGGTGAATTTTGTCTGCGCGCTCGTCTTCCTCGCTCTTTTCGCAGCGAGTTTTGTGGTCACGGTGTTTCTCAGCTTTGACGAAGCCCCTGGGTATTTCTTCCCGCTGAGCTGCGCGCTGCTGCAGATTATCATCCAAGGGGTTGCGCTGTGCACCCGGGGCTGCCACATCATCGCGGCGATTTATCGAAATGCGGTGATCCCGCCCTTCGAGCGCCTGGGCAGCTCCTGGGGGACGATCGCGGAGGTTTGCCTTTTTCTCGGCATGCTCGTGATGCAGGCGGTCGTGTTTTGCGTCTACGGCGTCACCCACAGCATGCTGCAGGGTTTCCAAGGCGCGTTCACGGTGGGGTGGGTGGCCGCGGCGGCGATTATCGTCTTCACGCATGTTTTTTTCGCGTTGGTGGTCGGCGGCCCGGGCGGGGGGCCGCGGCGGGCGAAAAGCTACATCGCCGCCCTGCCGTTTTTCCTCACCTTAGGGATCGGGGAGGGGGTGATGACGCCGCTCGATCTCGAGTTTGTTACGCGGACGTCGTCCGTGGTGATCTGCGGGACCCCTTTGGCGGTGAGTTTGCTCTTCGGCCTCGCGTTTTGGATCAGCGATCGGCTCGAGTTCTACGTCTGCACGGTGGTCGCGACGGTGATGGCGACGTTTGTGGTGAATTACTACACCGACGCGATCATCACGTCTCTGAGTGGGACCTTCATGCGGCTCTCGTTGCTGCTGCTTTCCGCGACCTGGTTGTTTATCGTCTTTGCGTTTGGGTTTCATGAGTCCGGGGGCCTTCACACCACCTTGCTGCTGCTCGCGCTTGCCTTGAATTGCTTCTTTTTCGTGCTCGCCTTCGTCTGCCTGCGGTGCTCGGGAAACGTCTGGCTGCTGCGGGTGTCGTTTATCATGTTCCTCCTGTACATGCTCGCGTTGTGGATCACCTCGTTTATCTTCGTGGATGCCCGGCTGGGGGTGTTTTGCCTTTTGCTGATCGTGCACAACCTGATCAACATGACGCTCGCCGCGGAGGACCTGACGAACATCAGCGGCGCGCTCGTCCTCTCGACGCTGGTCCTGCTGCTGCTGCTGCTCTGCGTGCTGCTGGGGTGGTACGGCACGACGGTGCTCTACACCGAGCCGCAGAGCCTGCCGCCCTTTCCGGGGTTCCCCGCCCCCGCTTCTTCCGCCGCGGCGTCGTGGTCGCCCGGGCTGACGGCGTTCGAGCTCTACCACCGCTACCCGATCTGCACGCTGCGGATCGGCAGCGCCGCCGCGCCGCTGCGGATCGTCGACGTCGCCCTCCTCACGGAGCTCGTCGCGGCGCGGG